ACACCTTATCTACATCAACTGTATAAACATTCACCAACATTCTGTAATAAATCACTTGATTGAAAATTCTCAATAGTTAAAAAATAATTATCCATAAATCTTTATTGGTGGTGTCATGACATCAAGTTTTGATGGGGTGAGGGAGGTAAAGAGTGTTCACCAGTTTCCTGAATTCTCATCTAAAAAAAAAAAAAAAAAAAAAAAAAAAAAAATACATACATTTTTATATAGCTATAAAGCAGCTAAAATAGAATATAACCAATTTCAGTGAAGTTTATATATATATATATATATATATACACACACATTCAGTTTCATTTAAAATCAAGCCATGATGATTGACTAGGTGTGTATACAAGAAAAATAGTTTTGTTAAAAGTAGCTGAACAAACGTGTGAGAGTGGTAAAAAAAAAAAAAAAAAAAAAAAAAAAAACAAAAAAAAAAGCATTTTGTTGATATTAACATTCTGCTATATAAAGAACATATTAAAATTCTGATGACTGAGTTAATGAAATTATTTTTTAAAAATTGTAAATCAATGAAGATTTTTTTTAATTTTTTAAATAAATAAAAGAAAACTTGTTTCATTGGAACCACAAACATATACATATACACTCACTTGTTTCAAGATATAGTTGTAATTCTAATAATAAGGCCAGCCAACTTTTATTATATAATCTTGTAATATGAGCTGTTTCAAAGTAACTGAAAGAAATCATGATAGAAGAGAGGTAAATATGAAGCTACACAGTTTTGATAGCTAACTACCCAACCAGTTTTGCAGATATTTTCTTTTATTTTTGCAGAGGGCTATTAGCATCAGATTCCAAAAATATATTTTAACATATAAGTAAATCAATAGTTTTCGAACAGAGTAGAAAACAAAAGTAAAAATAAGATTAATTGTATTAACAGATTTAAATATAATGTGTTGGTAGCATTGATTGGTTGCAAACATTTAAATTGGGGAAATTAAGCTGTGATTCTCTGACAGTCTTATTTGCACCATGAACTCCACTTTCTGTGAACGAGAACAATTTTTTAACAATAGAATCAAAATTGGATTTCTTGGATATGAAAACATTATTAAAATTTGGTTGAGAGTGTTTTTAATAGAAATAAATTCAAACTTTAAGTCAATTCTGTTTTCATGTCCTTTCAATGCTTTTACCTAGAATTGTTCATGGTGGTATTCAGGAGTTGATCATGTGAATTTTTAGCCTTTTTATTATATATATATATATATATATACACATACATACACACACAACCTTCCCCTGAGTCCAAATTTAACTAGAGAAATAAAAATTTTAAAAAAGTACAAGATACCTTTCTAAACAATCAAAGTAGAGAAAGATTTTAACTTCAAAATGATAGTTCCTACTTACCCTAGAAAGAATTTACATTTAAACATCAGATGAAAAAGTAACAGGATACAAAGTTCTAACTGCCCCCTTTGCAAGGGTTGCACTAAGGACCAAAATACTCAATATTTTTTTTTTACTTTTAACTTCTCTTTTTACAGGAGAATTTTTAACTAATTTCTTTTGAATTAGTCTTTTAAAATTTTAACTCTGATAAATGTGGCTGGCTTAAAGTTTAGACAAATGTTTCTTAAAAAGCATGACCTCTTCAAACCATTCTTATATATTTACTTATGCACGTTTCTTTGAAATTGAAACTACCAATTTTTGGCTAAAAAATGCTCAATTCCTTCTGTACCCACTCTGGGGTTAGCATGGCTTAAAAATATCTTTCTGATTTTTGCTATTGTGCTACTATATACTATAGGATCCAAGGAGAAGGAAAAAAGTTTTTCCTATTCTACAATCATGATAATTAAGAAGTTATTCCACACTATGATAAAAAGTATAAAGTTATAGAACAAAATTGTTTATTACAAAAAAAATTGTAACCTCCAAAATTAGAACAAAATTTTAATTATAATGAATAATGTTATTGACTTTATACTGACATGGAATATTAATAAGCTGTGTACAGGCCATAGTTTTTAATTACTTCTATGCGAAACTTCATTAACTCATGATGGTTTTTAGGTGTTATTAGGTTCCATTCCTCCTACAGTTTCTGTCATAAATCAGCCACTGACATTGGTCTCTTTACCCTAATATTAATCTTGTAAAAATTCTCAAATTGATTAAGATCAGAGCTTTGGTCAAGACAAGCCATTATCTTGAGATTTTCAACTTTGAAGGATTATTTTACCATTTATGCAGTATGAGAAGGAGACATTAAAAATGCCATTCAATAATATTTGTATACACTGCAGCATTTTACTTAATGAGTGAGCCAACACTAGAGGACATCCCCAACACCAATATGTAGAATTCAAGTGATTTTTCTTGATATTTGAGAAGTAATAACTTTTCATTTTCTGATATCCTGATTACGATCAGAGCCAACCAAATTAAACTTACTTTTATCAATCCAAAAAACATGAATATTTTTTATATTACAATGCTGTTGTTATTTCATAGGCCCATAAACAGGAAATCCTCTTAGAGAAGAGCCAACATGATGTCCAATAATAATTTTATATATTGTAGCATTTGCTTAGTCATGTAACTTTATGGGTGGGACCAAACCAGCACTAGAGAACATCCCCCAACTAATAATCTAAACTCTGTAAATTTAACTGATTTTTTTTTCTTCACAAATTTGGGAAGAAATCTCTCACCTTTACACTGTCAGACATACTGACTTCTATTGGGGGGCCAAATAAATTAAACTTATTTTCATCACTGAAATTTATTTTTGCTCAATTCTTATCAATCCAGCAAAGATTAGTTTAGCTATTTTGGTTCTTGCTGATAAGGGATTTTATGGCAGGAGAATGCATGTTTTTTGTTTTCCTTTTTAGCTGGACCTCAGTTAAGACCATAAAATTCACAACTCCACACCACAGATAATGGTGAACTGCAAATTCTTTTCAATGGCTCTATAATATATGCATTTTATCAGGGCTACATACCCAGTTTCCCAAGGTGGGACAGTTGTCTATTAACAAACAAATTATCACTTTACCAAAGTTGAAATTAAGATTTAAACACATGCTAAACAAGAGAAAAGTTGACAATGTCATCCATTGAGTTAATAGTATGATAACCCAATGCCTGAGCAATTCAACTTTGTAATGGCATTTGACAAAATGATGGCTTAGCAAAGAATCTTGCAAATGCATAATGAATATTTATTTACATTACAATGTTGCTGTATTTTGTTGGAAATTAAAAGATTGATTTTCTATAGAAATGACCTGTTTTTTTTTGGGGGGGGGGTCTAATTTTAGATGCTACACTTTTGTAATAAACAATTTTACTTTCTTTATCCCTTGTTTTTATTTCGACTTACAAATTTAAATGTAAAACAGGTTTTTTAATATTTACTTTAATTTTTATAACAATTAAATTTGTAGAATTTAACTTTTCTTTTAATTTAACTCTTTCATTCTCTAATATTGGATGCAACTGTATTCTGTCACATGACCAACTCATCATAAACTATTCTGAACAAAAGCAGGAAATTTTTTTTTTTATAATTTGGTTAGAACTGATTTCAAGTGCAATCATAAATTCATGGCGAGGGGAAATAAGCATGGTATTGTTTCAAGATGATACCAAACTGCATTAAAATAACATAGCATACACTGTTTAAAACAATCTATATTTGCATCATTTTGTTTTGTTTTTTACAATGAAATCTTCAAATTGTGCTTTTAAAATTTTATCTGACACTTTGGGCAGAAAGTCTTTAGAACGGAATATTAGTACCTGCATAAACAGCAAAAAGTAGCAAACAGACTTAGAAGCATTCAGTTCCCCATTCTATTTTATAATCTTCAAGTGTGTTGCACAAAAGTCAAATTGGAAAGAGGTGATCTTTTCTATCACAAAACCTCAGAATCCTGCTTTGTTTTAAAATTTGTGTATACAAATCATAACTTTAGTTGAATATAAGGCATGAAAGACATTACTACAATGGAGATGGCTGCCGAATTTGAATTGAAAATACCCAGATTAGCCTCTTAAGTGGAAATAACATGACCGTCATATTCAGCTTAGATGCATCCATTTAGGAAAGTGATTTGTACAGCTCTCTTTTCAGCCCACAGAATAGAAAATAAGAAAATGAACATCAATATCTATGGTTATTGAAAATAGAGATTTTTTTTTTTTTCCTTTTTGCTGGTGGTTAGTCAGATCAAAGATACAAAATAGCATATGTCATGGGAAGGCATTGAGTTTCCATTAAACTTGAATGGGGGTGGTGTGGAGCTATAGACTCGCCTATATTCTGCATTTTCAAGCAAATACAGGTTTGTTTGTGTTATTTTTTTCCTACAAAGAGTAAAAGTGCTTGAATTAACAATTTGAAACAGGAGTTGGCATGGTTGTTTAAGAAGACCAAGATGTTTCCTTCTTTTTATCTTTTCTGTTATATTTTAGTGTTGAAAAAATTCTCAGCATCATTTAAACTGACATAAAGAAACTGCTTTTGTTTGTTATTTTTTATTTTAGTTTCTGCTTACAAAAAAAAAATAAAATAAATAAATGCAAAGCAGTTTCTAGCTGTAGCGCTAAATGTTTGAAGTAAAAGAAAGAAAAAATATCAAAAGAAAATAATTTTCCTTCTTCCAGTAATCCCATATTGTTTCGATATAAGATTTCAGAAAGAAAGAAATTTGCCTCTATTGAGTGAGAATTTTAAGCACTTCATATATTTAGCTACAACCAGGGATCAAATTAGGTCATCAGCTACCACAGCCGATGGCGGGGTGAGTGAGCAGGTAAGTGATTGAGTGGTATACCATGCTGAACCATCTGTTGAAGCGAGAATAAGTATGCAAAAAGTTACGGATTAAGAAAGAAAAAGAAATTGGTGTCAAAGTTCATCAGTTAGCATCTCTTTAAGAATACAGCAGGCACACATTGAAAGTTGTTTGTTGTCCTTTCCCTCAGTTGAAAAGGCTTGAGCAGTTTCATCTCTTCGCATCAAACATCTGTCTCAGTTCACTGATTTTTTTACGAGATTCCATATCATTTGACTTGGTCTTATCTTCATCTCTGTCTGTTGTGTCAGATGTTGTGAACTTTGAATTTGGTGGTTGGTTAACTCTTCGAGCTGGCATTGGTTTGTTGGGATCTTTGGTTTCTGTCTTTGGTGTTGGGTCTGTGTACGTACGGGCAACTGTGGACTTTGGTGTAGGTCTAAGCTGTGGAAGATTTGCTCTCGAATCAGATTCTGATTTACTTATGTTTACAACAGGCTTCTTTGTTGGAATCGGTTTTTTATTGGGCATGGGTTTATTGGCGGAAGTAGAGGAAGGAGGAGATGCTTGAGTATATTTGGGCACAATTTGGGGTTTGGGTTCCAAGTTTCGATTTCTTATTGGAGTGACAGGATTGGAATCGGATCTTGCCAGTGGTTTGCTTGCAGGATTCAAAGCTCGGTTCTGTACTCTTGGTGGTTTTTCTTTTTGGTTTCTTGTTAACGATGGTGAACTGGTATTGTGATAGAGAGCATGGTTGCTGTTGTGATCCACACTGTTGCAGTTGTCCAATTCCACATTTGTATTCATATATAAATTGTCTTCATCATCCTGTGCCAAAAGATGCTTAAAAACATTAGAATTATCTTCCTGTGACTGTACAGGGACACGGAAGTTGGGTGGGGGAGTTGGATTATAGCCTCTCTCATCAGGCTTCTGGGGCGGTGGATGATGTGGCCGATCCGAGTGATTACGACGTAGTTTAGTACGTCGGCTTGTTGTAGCCAATCCGCCCTTGATGTCTGAAGCATTGAGGCTTGCAATGTTTTGGTCAGAAAACGCCACTGATGTGCGATTGGTTGTGCTTTGCAATACTGGGCTTGATATGTCCTTGGCCATAATGGCACTGACTGGACGTACGGCCTTTGTTTTTTCTCTCCTTGGGACTGCTGCTTCAGCAGGTGGGTCTACAGGAGTGATCAGCGCCTGTGAGTTACGATTGGTGCTGCAAGTCAATGTTGGCTTAGAGATCGGGACTGGTCGATTTCTGTGAATGCTCCCTGTCCTGGTCGGAGGAGGAGGACGCGATTTGGGCAGCTTGAAGTTGGCAAGTGCTGATGGCAAACTGCAAGAACAAAATATAACGAGTTAGTAATTTATTCCTCACAGAATCATTATTGAATCAATGTATGTATGTTAGAGAGAGATTCAAAATTTTTAATCCTAATTTTAAGTTTTTGACATGCTAGAATACAGCTGACTTTTGTTAAAATTTGTTCAACTGGAATGGTTAAAGACATTATAATATTATTATTAATCTATATAATAAAGTTGAATGTCAGTGTTTTTTCAAATTTACTCCTAGAGGCCGTAGCCCAACATATCATACCATTTTGGAATCAGGCCGACTCTATGAGCAAATTAAAAACATTCCATGCTGGATCCAGACCAGTAATCCTGAAATTTTGGATTCCTAAGTTTTCATTACGATTGTTTTCATCAATTTTTTTACGTGATTTTTTGCAACAAATTTTTTCATATAGTAACAATTCTTATAACTTGGAAATAAATTTGGGGAAATTAAAATTGCAAAATCCAGCAAAAGCCACCCATGAAATAAAAATAATTGTTTGTATGAAAAGTAAGGACCTACGTACATCAAATTATCTTTAAGTTAAGTGGCGGCAGAAGAATTATCAATGAACTTTTAAAAGGTAAGTTTAAATATTAATACAATACTTAAATGAAGTGATCAATTTTGAGTTCTGTAGTTTATCATTGCCCATTGCATCTACTCCTCCCTACTTATTGTGATGAAGGAGCTAGCTTAAATGCCACATAATAGGGCAACTTTTAAGCTAGTTATTTATATATTTATATATATTATATGTAGAGTTGTTCATACTCCCAACCTCTGTTGCCAAGTCTCCTAGCTTTGAGACCATGTCTTTCTTAAGTTAAGGTGTCAGGGCGGCCATATTTCTTTTTCCTTTCCTTTACTTGTTTTGCACGCCAGGCATATATGTGCTCACTTTGTCACACAAGATAAGTTGTCTTCTCTTCTACAGTTAGCACTGGTAAACTGTCCAACTAATTCTTTTAATGGCTCTAACTTTTTTCTCACATTCTGATTAATTCTTTTCAGATAAATGATGACAAATATAAGTTAACAAACCTGGAAGCCACTGACAGAGATTTTACAGCACTAGCTAAACATAAAATGCCTGCTATGGGTCCTAATACCATTAGAACAAGAAATTTGTACAAAAGGTGCAGGAAATTATCAAAGTCAATTAAGGAGCTCATGGTTTCAAGGCACTGTATCAGAAGAATTGTGCATAAGGACTTTCAATAGAAATATGTGATGCAGATAAGCCAATTCATGTCTGCAAAGACAAAAAGATAACCATTTCAAAGCACTTGTTGAGAAAGTTGAATCATCAAGAGCATGAAATGCTTTGGTTTTCCTCTGATGAGAAAAACTTTGATCATAACCAAAATATCAGCTGGAGGAATGACAGATGGTTATGAAGAGATACTAAGGACATTTCAACAACCATGCACACAAACTTTTCAGCAACTGTGATGGCTCTGAGTTGTGGACAAGAAAGGAGGCGTCATGACACCCCCCCCCACACACACCTTTCCTCAGGGCTAAATGCTGCTGACTATAAGATGTTGAAGAGGGTTGTAAGACCTTGGATAGAAAGCATGAATAAAGAAAGACCATAAAACCTACCAACAAGACACTGAGAAACCCTTTGTATTAACTGATTAAAGTAGCTATTTTATTTTTTACATTCTATATGAAAGCATATTCAGTTTGCAAGTTAAGTAACGCGAGAATACTTTTATTTTCTAAATTAGAAAATAAATTGACAATAACATTCTCTTTATTTTGGAGAGGAATTTGACAATAAAATTATTTTTCCTCAGATTATTATTTTTTAAGATTTTTTTTTAACATTTTGATGTCTAAATACTTACTTCACTTTGATATTCTTTTTCATGCTCCACCATTGTCTCAGCTGGGATCTACGCATGTAAGCACAAACAAGGACCACAATGAGGCATATCAAGAACATGATCACAATGACTGCAATCACAATGGCACCAGATCCTTCTGTAATGGAGAATAAAACACAACATTTCTATAATATAGTACCACCAAAATTTATATAGCATGAAAAGAAAAAAAAATGGGTGGCACTAGTTTAAGTATTAATTTTTGCAACATCTTTAAATTTATAAGTAATAACATTTTAGTTTTAAATTCAACAAATAATCAGTTACTTCACCATTTTGAAAATAAAAAGCAAATTAACTAAAATAACTTGTTTTGTTTAATATTTAAAATGTTCATCTTGTGCATCATCATTTATCAATTTTTTTGATAAGCAGTTTCCCTCATCACAATTTTTAATTGCTTTCAAATACAACTCTGACTTTCACAGATCAGAATAGTTACAAAAAAGGGCAACTAAAAATTTAGATGAATGAAAGTACTACTCAAAAAAACTGATTACAATGCTTCTGTAGTGATAGCAACAAATAGAATTATTACAATACCTCATATCAGAAATATAGACAAAAATAATATTAATCATTATATTCTATAACTAAAAAAAATTGTGAACTTTATTTTAGAATAAGACATGAATATTCAATTTGTGTACTCAGGTAGAACAAATATGATGGAATGGTTACCTTTATCTAGATTAGCAGAGCCGCTATCCACACTTCCTCCCTTACCCACTTTTGCACAAGTTGGTGGAGCATAGCCTGGATCACAATGACAATTCCCACGACTGTTGCAGATCTGCAAGAATTAATTATATATTATAGTAAATTCGGGATTTTTTTTTTTTTAACAAACAAAACTGTCATTGAACAAAGAATCACAAAAGTTAGTGTGCGAACCTGACAAAGTCTCTCCATGAAAGCAGTACCATGTTCATGAATGTACTGCCTATTCTCTCGTGCATATTTTATGCCGAGCTGATGTCACAAAAAGTTTGCATATGCCCCACCTCTCTTGCCAATTCTCCTAGCTCTGAGACAGTGTCTTTCTAAAATTAAGGTGTCAGGGTAGCCATATTTCTTTTTCTATTCCTTTCTTTTCCTTCATTTGTTTTGCACACCAGGCATATACATGCTTGCTTTGCCACATGAGGTAAGTTGTCTTCTCTTCTACACTCCTCCCTGATCTCCTGATCACATAAATGACATGGAGATGGCAGGCACCTTCATCAAGTGCTTCTACATAAAGGTGGATGGGATCTGCCCATCTCTTCTGCATTTGTGTCCACTTGGTTTCTTTCATTAGTGGCATCGTCATTATTGTCTTCAGCATCTGTTTCCACTGGTTCTGTAGGTGAATAATCTGGCCTTGCACTAAAAAACAGTCAAACCGCAGCAACTGCCAGTTCTTCCTCCAGTACTTTGTCTTTCATGATTGCTCACACTCACATCAACAGCTAGTTGATAGACAATTTGTCCACCCAGGTTGAAGTGCAAAGGAGATGTTTAACTTGGTCTGGTAACTCTCACACGAAGCACATGCCCAGCCACAGTCGCTTATTCCACTGAACAGGATGCAAAGTTTTCATAACTCTCCTGGGATAGAGATGTCATTCAGTAAATTGCTCATAAGCCAGAAAACTATCTGTAGCAAAAGCTGTGTACAAATGCAGATTTTATCTGGCTAAAATCCTCTTTTTCTTCCTCTTTCAGAAAATGGTAGACAGCAAACACACCACCCATTAGCCTTAGACTATGTGTCCTGGATGTTTCACTTGGCATATCTCATGGGCCAGCTCAGCCTTCTCGGTCCATTCGACCACAGATGGTCCAAATGCAGAGAATGAGTTTGAGGTCAAACTTCCACTCTGTCATTTTTGCTAAAATAGCTTGTTTGAAACTGACCCAAGTAATCGCTTTCCCAACTGACAGTCTCTCCATAAAAGCAGTACCATGTTCACAAACATACTGCCTATTCTCTCTTGCATGGTGTGTTTTATGCTGAGCTGATCTTGCAAAAAATTTGCATACTCCCAACCTCTGTTGCCAAGTCTCCTAGCTTTGAGACCATGTCTTTCTTAAGTTAAGGTGTCAGGGCGGACATATTTCTTTTTCCTTTCCTTTACTTGTTTTGCACGCCAGGCATATATGTGCTCACTTTGTCACACAAGATAAGTTGTCTTCTCTTCTACAGTTAGCACTGGTAAACTGTCCAACTAATTCTTCTGCAAAGCAAATAAGCACAAAAGTGATCCCCCCACCTCCCCAGAAGTTGTTTTACTCTAGTTTTATATCAAGAGCATCCAATTTTAACACCAGTCATCACTTGATGATACAATCTTCATGACTTCTCTTGGTAGTTGGCATTGCATTGTAAAGAAAAGTACCAAAACAGTAAACTCACTTATTCATAAACAAAGGTAACATTGGGTGTATATGAAAGAGTAATTATTTTATACTAAATATGGTCAATATTTGAGAAATTCCTGCACTACAACAATTACCAATTTATTTTTTTGAAAAATGTTTTTAAATTCATTCACAACAACAACAAAAAAGATTCTTTCTGCCTTTATAGATTTATTCAACTTTGGTAGTAAAGGTTTATATTTGTAAGGAAACAATTCAGATGCTTAAAAGGAATGGTAATCTGCCAAAGAAGGAAAAGTTAGATAAATACTTAGGTATACCTGATTCAAGGTCACTTTGTTTTATGACCTAAGTGTTGCCTTTGATCCTTCACTACAAGGCAAAGTTTCCATATTGAACAAATTCAATTTTAGTCCTTTCCTTTTTGCAATATCAGAATGTATATTATAACCTTTGAATGTGCCTTATTTCAAACTGGCCTACATATCCCTGTACATGTTTATGTTATGTATAAAAACTATTTGTGTCCCATCAAATGCTCACAATAATCATCCAGGAAAAATAATGTAATCTGAGATCGTTTCAGAATTATCCAATCATCATACAGGATTTCTCTAATTATTATTATACAAAATCCAATAATTCACAAGTGTTGATGTAAAAACACATCAGTTTCATATACCATTAAACATGATTCATTTAAGCCTTTTGATTGCTTTCATTTCAATTGAATTTGTTTATTTTTTTTCTTGCTATTCAATCTTAAATAATTTAATGTAACACCAATGAATACATTTGTTTTCCAAATTTTTTATTTTTTTTCCCTCAACAACCTTAAAATCTTCACCATTGTTGCTTTTGGTAAATCTATCTCCTCTGCCAATCTTTCTAAACTTAGAACAAAAACTTTATTCCTCACAACTTCAGCTCCATTGTGGCTAAAATTGAACAGAGAATAATTTTTAAAAACATATTGAAAGGATAATTTGCTTTCAAAAGAATAATTTGCTACAAATGAAGTTAAATGATCAAAAAATAATGTTGTAAAAGATGAGTCAAAAAAATGTTTCAGTATGACAATTGGCAATTTTATATTGGACAACTAAATATGTGAAATAAAAGACAAGATTTTAATAGAAACAGCAATTTCAAGAAACAAATTTTATTTACTAGCTGTAAATCTTTCCTATGGTCTGGATTTTCAACTAATTCTTGCAGGTCTAAATGGAGCTTTTGGTTCCAATAAGAAATTATGAATTTGAACTATATATTTATTAAATCATCATCATCATCATTTAATTTAAATATTTAGGAAGATTTCACAAAAAATTCACTTATTCAACCGATTATAAATTGATCTGTCCAACTTTTCTTGGGGCAATAAATACAAACATAACATAAAATGATTTTGATGAATAATTAATAAATGTCATTGAAAGGTTTATGTTCATGCACCCCAGGGGAAGTTTTTGATTAATTATTTTTTAACTAAAAGAAATCATAAAGTTGGTTTCTAGAGAAAGAATTTTCAGCAATATGGCTTCATTATACAGGCAAGAAAAAAAAAGATAAAAATTTGGTTTGGCTAACCTAATGGACACAAAGTATGGGTGCAGTTTAGTATTATATTTACATTGTAAATCAAACCTCTTGCTAAAAATTTTTAAAACATGCTACAGAGTCTCATTAGTTACCACAATATTTAGTAGCTATATCTGTCTTTGAGTTATACGATGTCTGACATAAAGACAACATTTGGTTTCATCATGTAAATAGGAACACAATTTGTAAAATAATGGAACAAGAATTCCACTAAATCCAATCAACTTTTGTAGAAGTAAGAACTGAAGAAAAAATATATTAAAATAATTTGAAATTTCAGTGCCATGGTGTATTTTTAGTTATTTAGTTTTTAAATACTATCAGTAAAATAAAAAAAAATTGTGAATTTATCAGGCCAAGGGAAGTAAATCTGGAAATAAAGTTGGAGTAATTTCCCCTAATGTAAAATATATATTTAAAATCGTAGCCAAAGAAAATTGTTAACTTACTCCATGTCCGTTACAGCCTTTAGGGCAATCTGGGTAAGCCAACTTCTTCAAAGAACTGCACACTTGATTCACACATAACTAGAAACAAATACAAAATCATTTACTTAAAAAAAAACAAAAAAACAAACTCTTTGAGAAATAAAAATAATAATAATAATAATAATAATAAAGATCACACCTTCAAATCAATATTTAATTCATTTACCCTGGTAAGTTTTTAAAAGTGATTTATGAGTTTTGGTCATTACCTTTGCTTTTTTTAAGAACTATACAGTTACTCAATGTAGTGTCGTGTCCTTACTTGGATGATCATGGCTCTCCACAACTTCTGTTTTTTATTGTTCCAAATAAGTTCTGACCCTTTACCATCCCTCTTCATTCTTGTTTAAATTTGTTAATTTCAGTATGTCCTGTGAATGTTAAATTCTCCAGGCCCTCTTTCCTCATTTTTCTGATTGTTATCAGTATTCTTGTAGTTCCTACTTTCCTTGAAATTTCCTCATTGCTCACATGTTCTGTCCCTAGTATTCTCAGCATTCATTGATAGAAATACATCTGTTCTTACAATTCTCTTCATCTGCCATATAGGCATTTAGATATTACATAGCAGTTCAGAACTTTCCTTTGTTTCTAAGGGCAATTTTCTATCTCTCAAAACTTTGCTTAGTTTCTGAAAAACATCCTATGTGCTTTTGAATTTCTTTATTACATTTTCCATCATCTGTTACCCATTTCTGCTCCTGTTTGATTTTAACATCCCCAATATGTAGTTCACACCTTAACTTGTCTCTTTTGCTGACAACCATGGTTTCAGTTTTCTTATAGGTAATAGTCAGTCCTTTCTTCTTGCTTTCCATTACTACCTTGTCTAAGAGTTATTTCTGTTTTCTATCTTCCTTCAACGCAGTCTTATCTTACTCATCTTTATTATAATGTATAGGTTCATAATAAGAACTTGGTGATTTTACACTGTAATATAGCCAAATACAAACTCAGAACTAACAAATGTCTCCAATACTTGTTAAAAGAAAGCAAATAAATCCATGAATTTAAATGAAGAGAAATCTTAAAATATACCTGTAATCTGGAAATACCTTGAACTATATTGAATCTGGACTGAATCTTTTATAAAACTGATCAATACATATTTGGATTGATATCAGAAATAAATAGAAATGTCAAGAAAAATCTGTTCAATAAAAAAAAAATTAAAAACAGCTTCATTTTGATAGGTGTCAATATATATACATTTTTTTTAAGAAAAAAATATTTTTTTGAAAAAAAAAAAAGAAAAAAAAGCCTAACAACTAAGTACCTTGTTTTCTCCACATTTGGCTCCGTCTGGTACCAGACCTGGGTCTGGCATCTCTAATCCAACATCGAGAATGACGGCACGGCACACATACATCACAGATGCATTCTCCAAGAAAGACTTTGGAAACTTGTGGGCCAAACTGTCTTTCCAAAACATTAATTTCTCATTTTTATGCTTGCAGTGGAGCATTCCACAATGAGTATTTCTAGAAATCAAAATAAACAGAGATTAGTTGATGATTCAATAATCAATAATAGACACACTGGCAGCATTTTGTTTTAAGAAGCTTTATAAAAACTGCAGAAATGTTCTTGGACAAATCCACTTCCCAAAATTAAACCAAAGATTAGAGGGTTTTTTTTTTCACTTACATTATTTATATTTGGACTAATGTCCATCTTTATTGTTATCATAATATTTCAGCCCTCAATTGTGGATAAGTCATACAATGAGGAATTTGAAAAGATCAAGGCTTGCCAAATACAACAAATGAAGGAATAAGGCCCACTCTGATTTGTTAAAAGCAATTGTCAATATCAGCAACTGAGTGACTCTGAAGAATTAGTAAAACAAGGTCCTCAAATTCAGCACAGCCATCAAATCTCTAGTTGAGAAGGTTGCCTCAAAGACCCCTAATGCTCAGGTAAATGTGCTAAGATGGAAAGTGAGACCAAGCTGGCCAAATCAAACATCACACAGGGTCAAAAAGTTAACCATCAACATCCTACAGACTGACACTAATATCATCATACTGCCAGCAGACAAAGGTAGCATGACAGTGGGTGATGAACAAGTTGAAATACTCCTAGAAATTGGCAAGCCTATTGATGGATGATAGCTATGGCAAGGTGAAAAAGGATCCAACCCTAAGAGCTAAGAGAAAGCTCTTACAGATCCTAAATAAGAAGGATTACGTCACACTGAATCAATACTGGCTGCACATTACACCAAGCAGCTACAAATATACAGTCTCCCCAAATTCATAAAGTTAATTATTCCATTAAGACCTTTAGCTAGCTGCAGGAGCTTGGTATGCCACCCACTGAGCAGATTCCCAGTAGAAAGACTAAGATACCCAGTAAAAAGAAAATCCTCATAAATACTTTGTAGAATCAATACAAGGTGTTCCCATCTCTAACAATCAGATGGTAAGCTTGTAAGCCTGTTCACCAGGATACCTACAGATGAGGCTCTATTGGCAGTTTTTAAACAGATTGAAATCAGACCCCTCCTTTGAAGAATGTAATAAAATGCCAATAAATAACCAGACAGAAATATGTTGAAAAACTTTGTACAGACAGCATTCTTCCAACAATTGGAAGGCTTGGCTATGGGTTCACTGTTAATGCTAGTGATGGCAAACATTATATATATATATATATATATATATATATATATATATATATATATATATATATATATATATTTAGAGAGAGAGAGAAAGAGAATACTCTGAGGAAATGGCTTTAGGAATGACACCACTAAAGCCAACTGTATAATTGAAATATGTAGATTCCACTTTCATACTTTGGCTTCACCATGAAGCTGTAGAAATACTGCTGGACCATGTGAACTCTTTAATCCAGTTCAGAATGAAAGAGAAAACAAAAAGTCAACTTGCCTTCCTGGGTATACTAATAACTCTGAGAGAGAATAAATTCAAGCCATCTGTATATCATAAGCCAACCTTCACTGGACAATACATTAACTTCAATTCCACCCCCTCCATCTGTCAAGTGTAAAGAAAGGGATCATCTGATGCCTACAACACTGTGTAAAAATCATAAATGGTGACCCAGGTAGATATCAACAGGTGTTCAGCAGCAAACATAACATCAGCTTCTACAGGTAAAAACAGAAGAATCAAAGAAGATTATCAGAAAACTACCATGGTCCATATCCCTTATGTCAAGGATGTGTCAGCTCATATAACGTCAGGAAAATATTCAGCAACAGTTTGACCTTACAGAGAAATTGCTACTAAGTGAAACTTATCACAGAGGAGGCCATGACTAAGGATTGTGTATATTCCATTCCTTGCAGTTGGTTTGTGAATTTGGTGGCATGGTAATTGTGACTTCAATCTCTGGTTAGTACAGATTCAGACTGAATGGAAACTATGTGAACAATAACTGAGCAATACTAAAAAGAACACGATGCCCCAAGATGACATGGACTGTGGGAAGAAAAAGATTACCTAGATCAATAGACACCTGAAAGTGCATAGAGGACACAACAGCTGAAATGTATCCCATTTCAGCTGTTGAGCCCTCTAACAAAGATGAAGATATTAGTTTGAATGTAAATAATTGTGGCTACTCATGCCAGAAATCAGTGGTTTGACCAAGAACTTTTCAGCAATGTTTTGTGCCATAATATGTGAAGATGAAAATTTTTAGCACCCTTGCGAGTGTGTGTAACTTTATTTTTATTTTTTTTTTTTTAACTTACTCAGGTTTACATTTTCTGTAGTAGTCAGATCTCCAATTATAGCCACAATTTCCACTTTCATTGCCGAAAACATTGTTGTAGGTGAAACAGATATCATTAGATGCTTCTCCAGTTTTCCCCCACAAAAGACGGCATTGGCTGGAATGTGTCTTACATTGTCCTTTGAAACAATATGACTGAAAATAGGAAAAATAAAATTTAGATATACACATTTATCTGACACAACAGAAATACTTTCATGTGTTTTTTTAATCAAACATTGAAGGAAATATGAGATTCTATTATAAATATAATTAATTTCACACCACTCGTAACATCAAACTATAATTCTCTTTGTTCTTTTATTAGCTTCTATGCAAGTTATGCTCTGCTATTAACTCAGATAAACAATGGACCAATAGTGTTTGATTGCAAGAATAACTGGAAGAAAATATCAAAATGCTGTTTGATTTTAAGAAAGAAAAAAAAAAGAAGGTAGATGTGGTGATAACACTCATGTATTTAATGTTTGCTTTAGTGAAATGGAAAAACCTTCTCAATTTTTAATATTTTCATTTGTACCCTCTTACTTCTTTAAATAATGATCTGCATTCATATTTATGATTGTTAATGTAATATTTTGCTAATATTTTTAAGCTCAAATATTTAACTAGGGAAAAGAGGAATTTTCACAGGGATTTTATAAACATGGAACTCACAATAAACCTATTCAATCATTAACTTAAGAAAATTAAAATAGAAAAACTGAAATTTCCATGGGAATTTCTAAGAAAACAAAAGTGTGAGACTCTTTATTAATGCTAGTGCCATAGACTTTAAAAAGTAAATCAAACAAATTTTAAACAAAAAATTAAAACAGTTTGAGTTAAGAGTAAATTTAAGTTTCAAAATGAAATCATAATTTTTGTGTATAAAACTCAACTTTGAAACTAAAATAAATTTTCAGTTAAGCATAGACTTTAAAAGTAAATTAAAAATTTTAAAAGTAAAACCCAATTTTTGAAATAATTAAAACATTTTGAGTCAAGAGTAAACTTTTAAAATAAAATTGTAAAAAATTGTATTAAAAGTAAAATTCAACTTTTAACTAAAATAATTTCAAGTTAAGCACAGATTTAACTTTAAAAATTAAATTGGAAGATGTCAAAAGTAAAACAAATTTTGAAATAAAATTTAAAACATTTTTAGTTAAGAGTAACTTTTAAAATAAAATCCTTAAAACATTGTGTTAAAGTAAAACTAGAAAAAATAATTTAAAAGCTTTAAATTTTAACAAAGATAAAGAATAAATGTAATGACTGAAAAAAAAAAAAAAAAAAAAAAATCATAGCAGGCGTAAAGTAGGACTACCATCCTTACCTCCCCTCCAAGGCAAGGGTGGCCATTATAAACAAACACATCATCAGGGCAGTATTCTCCATTTCCACTACAGTATTCATCCAAATCACATTCTCCACTTTTGGTCCTGCATACTGTACCCAATGGAAGGAACTAAAGAAGGAAAGGGAGAGAGAGAAAAAAAAAAAACAAAGATCAGGTCAAAATGTAAAATTATTATTTTACACCAAAGATTGGTAACAAACTAAGTCTTCTTAAAAATCCCCAAATCATTGTCAAGAATTCAAAGTTTTTATTTTAAAATTTATATAATCATCTTTGTTGTAATTTATTTACATATTTTATTTGAAATAGTATATGACTAATTTGAATGTGCTATGTTCTTGAAACAATAGAAATATTTGATAAGCAGTGTTTCCTCAGGACATCAGCAATCATGATCCTTCACAACTTCCTGTCCCTTGTAGTGCTCAATAAACTTTGTCTTTCTGTTATTTATCCTAAACCCTATTCTGCCATTCATTTACTCAAGTTATGTGTTGTTTTCCACTGTCTCTCTTGCCTTCAATCTGTCCTGTGAGTAACAGATTTCCCAAGCCCTCATTCCTCATTATATGCCCTACAAGCATCAACTGTCTCTTCCCGGTGTTAAGTGTAAGTTTCATTTTTGTTTTCATTTTCTCTAAAACTTCATTGTTGATCAGATGTTTGGTCCATGGTATCCTCAGCATCCTGCTGTAGAACCATATTTCTGTTGCTTTATGTCTCTTCTTCATCTTTCTGATGAATTCAATAAAATCTAATTATCAGATTTTTTTTTTTTTTAGTTTTATAGCTCAGCCAAGGATAGAGATTGTCCAGACTGAGTAGGAGGGCGAATGTCTTATTTCAAACTGTCAAATTGTGTGTGTATGTGTGCATGTAGATTAAATGGCACAAGCACATGTAAGTCACTCATGCACAACACAGACATACACACACATATATACATACATGCAAAAAAATCACAGAGTGGGATGAACAAAGAATCAGATGCTCTTTTATAATAGGGATTCGATCAAAGTTCAGTGATTATAAAAATAATCTTGTTAGACATTGATAGTGATATTGGTATCATTAATAATAATGCTACTAAATTCATTCTTTATACTGCTTTTGTTAACTGAATGTTTTGGCCATTTCATTCTACAGGCAGGAACTAAAGAAATACATTATCCTGATAGTTTATAAGTCTAAGAATGTTATTAAGGAAATAAAAAAACAACAGAAGCCTGACTAAAATTACTGGCTTATTAAACAACATATCACTTTAAAGCATAAAGAATTTGCACAAACACCAATAAATAGTTTTTTTGTAAATAGTTTTTCACCTCATTACACTTTGATTGTTGAAACGGATTTAATTTATACATAAGTCATTGCCAGTAAATTTAAACCTCAGTGGATGTTCCCATTAGTGCTGGCCGCTACCAGACATGGCTTACTAAGGTTCTACTTTTAAATCTGCATCACTCAAGGTAGCGGGTAGTTTATATGGATAGGAGAGGAAGATAGTTAATTTTAGTCTTGAACAGGTTAAGATTGTAGTGATCAAGGAAACATCCTCTTGGGTGTCTGTTTCACAGGATGGTGGTTTGTGTGAAGAAGCTGTTTGAGTCAAACTTATTTCTTGCTGATGGAATATGGAAGGAATGTAGTTGGTTTGCTACTATGTAAGTGGCATGGCAGATCCCAGCTGCGAATGTTAAACCTGGCAAAAACAAAGAATGTAGTTCATCCAAGCACTTTCTATGAGAGTAGCAGTGAGAGGTTCATAAATGTTTATTAAATATGCCAAATAAATTTTCAAATTTAAAGTTTTCTGTACTGACAACTGTTAGTCTTGTGACAATATTGCAATAATTGAAAACCTAATTATTCAATATATATATATATATATATATATATATATATATACCCCCCCCAGAGAGGCAATCATAATAGTGACTGTCATTTTCACCAATACCCTAAAATCAAATCTTCACTTCATCGAATGGTTCATTTCCCCAAAATACCCAAAGTGAGAAGGAGATAACTTTTATATCTGAATAGTGCTTTTTAAATTATCTATCCTTTTAAAATAGGTACCCCCACAGAAAGTGCAATACCTACTGTTTAAAATGAATTTTTAAAAATTAAAAATCTTTCTTGAAGCTTTTGTTTTAATTTTAATTTAAAGCTAATAAATTAAATTTAATATTTCCAATAAACAAAATTCTTTGCTGTATTTCAAAAACTAATTTAAATTGACTAGCAGTTTTTTGGGTTTTTTTTTTTGCTAAAATAGCTGATTAGCACACTCTTTAGTCTTCTTTCCTTGCAATGTAATTCTCTTTATTAAAAAAAATCTTCCAAAAATAAAATATACTTTTCTGAAACTTTATTTGAGGAATATTAGCTGTTTTAAAGTATAATTAATCTGATGTGAAACAAATATCATTTACTTTAAGTTTAATATATCACAGAAATTCATTTTATTAACACAGCAGTAGCTGTTTATTTAAGCTGTTCAGATGTCGATAGGTTGATGTTTATCTAATGGCTTTATCTGTGAAGAATAATATAACGGGAGCACTTTTTATATATAATTTTTAAGTACAAAGTAATCTTAAAAATTTTGGAAAATATTCTCCGTAATCTAATGTTTTATTGAATTTGTGATATTTTGGCATTAAATTTACTATAGTTATTATACCTATTTTCTGATAATGTCGTGTATGAACATCTATATCAACAAAAATCAGCATACAATACACATACAAAAAAAAATCAAAATTTTAAAATATTGGTATTTGATCTGTACTAAGCTTTTCCATTTATACTTAGTAAATATAGTTTTTACTTAATAATATAATCTAAAAAGGTGAAATTAATACAGAATTTTAAAAGATTTAAAGTGTAATAGATTATTATAATAAAAAAAAAAAAAATGAAAACAGTTTTTGTAAAAATTCATTATTCATAGAATTTTTTTCTTTCTTAAGACAATAGCATCCTTAATATATCTTATTTATATAAGCAATTAAAAGCTTTTCTAATTAAATAATGTCATAGTTTTATTACATTTTTTTTATTTTATGATTCACAGAAGATTTTCAATAAATGGTGTTTGTTTTACAAAAAGAAACTGATGATTTAAACTCTCCAAGGAGTCTTGCTTTTATCTAATATAAATGTGAAGTGGATGTAATTATAATTTCTCAAAATTGCATAAAAGTAAGTGTGTGTGTGTGTGTGGGGGGGTAACAGATGTAAAAAAAAAAAAAACTTTTTTAACAAGACTTTGTAAAAGAACAAAAAAAAAAAAATTTAATTCATTTGTGAATAACTGGAAATTTTATTAAAATCTGACAATTATTTGATTTTTGCAAGAATTTCCAAATCAATATTTTTATACCACAAAAAAAAAAAAAAAAAAAAAAAAAAATAGAATTTCCTATACTATTTTTAGTTTTTAATTATATTCCAATATTTTTTTTTTTTTAATTTATATCATTTTTGTTGACTGGGGAAAAAAAGACAGTGAATTTTCTAGTTTTAATTGATTTCAACATTAAATAATCCTCTTAAACCAACTAACTTGTTGTCCGTCATTCCTTATCATAAATAAGCAACAGTCATTAATTAATGAGCGTCATTTTGAAATGATAAATAATTTAAGAAAAACAGCATTCAGATATAACAGTTGCCTCCCTTCAATTTCCTATGTTTGAATGAAGATTTGATTTAATGGTTTCAGTGAAGCCAGGTTTTAGACAAATGATATTTGCAAGAATTGAATCCATTCATATAATTTAATAAATACACAATTATTAAATTACATGACCCGGCAGTAAACAATGAAAGTAAACTGCAGTACCTTGTCAGTTGTTTCTAATTAAACTTCTATAAAAGAGGATATTGCTGCCCAATTACGCAATTAAATTACATGACCCGGCAGCCAACAAGGAAAGTAAACCACAGTACCTTGTCACTTGTTTTTAATGAAACTGTGTGTGTGTGTGTGTGTGTGTGTGTGTGTGTATGTATAATTTCTTGCTACTCATTTTGTTTTTAATTTTCTTAAACAGTGAAACTAATAACAACCAACCTAGGTCAAGAAATAAATAAAAAGAGAGAAAAAAATTTCAACTTACAGAGCATGTTTCTTTGTTGCAACATTTTCCAGTTGCACAAACTGCATTTGGTTTTAATGTACAGGTATGAGGATTACAACACTTGCTTTTACACATCTGAACAGGGAAAAAAAAAAACAAAAAAAACTGTAATAATAATTAGGGGTTCAGTAAGTTTCTCAAAAGATAGATACTTATTTAAATTAATGAAAACCTGTCCATTCATAAACCTTAAATTACAGGCTTGATCTTATAAAACAACAATATGTATTGCATACCTGTGGGAGACCACAGTCACATTGTTCACCATCTTCAACAAAGCCATTACCACATGACGCACGATAAAGTGTCTCTGGCTTATTTCGCAGACAGTAATCCATTCCCTGTTCAAAAGCTTCATGAAGTGCTTCTCGAGAACAACTCGACCAAACAGACGTGCCTAGATCCCTGAAAAATACCAAAGGTTGGTTAAGCATTAATACTAAATAACCAACATTATCATTAAATAGAAACTGGCCTTGTTTTTATTTTTAATGTTACTCACCCACTCGTTGATTCCATGATACATTTATTATTCTTGCCATGACACTCACATTCTCCGGTGTCATGTTCCATGCCAAGATTGTGACCAAGCTCATGGGCCACTGTCATGGCCACACTAGTCAGAGTGGAACCTTTGTGATCCTGTCAAAATAGAAGACATTGGAGTGTTGTGTAACTTAAACATGAAATACAAACACTTAACAATTGTTCTAAAATAAACGATATCTAAATAGCTGAAATTCTAAACTCAAATATTTTTTATTATTCCATGCATTTTTGAATTGACAATATTTTTGTCACTATATTCGTTAGCTTTTTATCATCATGGTCACGTGACATTGCACAAGACACCTTTGTAGCATTATCACTTTGCTTGGGGTGAAAGGGAAAAAAAAGCCTTTAGAAGGAACCAGAAACCCAATAATTGTCTAAATTTCAGAGTTTAGGTGGAAACATTAGAAGTATAAAGTTGAAGTAGAATTTAGAAAGAACCAGAAACTTAATCCTAAACAGGAAATTCAGGAGGAGTGTAAACAGGAAATTCAGGAGGAGTGTAAACAGGAAATTCAGGAGGAATGTAAACCGGACAACAGGTGAACCTATCTACTGTTCAGAAAATCTAATCCCTTCTTATTTATATAGATGCTGCTATTAACAAAATGTTTCAGATGATGTCTTTTTTCAGTTTTTGTTAGGTGCAACAAAGTATGCAGATATTTCATGCAACCAACACTGTGGAAATGGATTACTCTTGATATATTAATGAGCTTTTTTTTTTCTGTGGTCTGTTTGCTTGTTTTTTGTTTTTTTTTCCTTGAAGAAAGTGGTTCCTTCTTTTTGCTTCACAGAAAACACCTGACTGAAGAATAAATCAAACCAAACACATAGCGTTAACAGTAGCAAACGTATAAAGAAGGATTTCAATTGCCTGCACAATGTCAGATGTTATTGACTCTTTTCAAAATCATAACCAATACTTCAGTTTTAATTGTTATGCAGTTGAGAAATTTGATACTAAGAAAAAAGGAAAAAAAAGGAAAAAAAAAAAAAAAAAAAAAAAAGTAGCTACTTTTTCAATCAACCAAGAGTCCAAATTCTAATCCTCTAAACAGCTTTTTCTTTTCAATTCAATATCATGGTAATTAGAGTTCCCTTATAAGGAAACATTCGGCATTCATCGTGATCGTAACGGTGGGATTAGCCATTCACTTATAAGGAAACATTTGGCATTCAATGACCAAACCGCCAATGCTACTTTTGGTTGAAATTTATAAAATCTCTGTATTAAAACAATTTTTCAGGAAAATAGATTTCTTTAATTCAGTAACTGTTATTGCTCTTTGCAGTATTGATGGGGTTTACTTCCTAACCTTTTGTTTGAATTAGTGTGAAATGTTAACATCTTGATTATGTCATTATTTTCTCCTCTTGTTACATGTGTTATCCATTTTTGTTGTTGCTGGATGTCATTTTTGTTACAGAAACTAAGAATGATATGCTTATGAATACAATGATTTTTCAGTTTCTTTCCTTTCATCCAAATAATGAAACATTTCAGTTTCTCAATGTTTTGGAAGATAAATGAATTAAAACTAAGCAGACTTATCAAACTGTACAAGTTTAAGACATAAGGCAAGAAGAGCCTCCAAAAATATTTAAATGCAACAAGGAATAAGTATTATTTCCGAGTGGCAGATTAAATAAACACTGAAACTATTCTGTCCACTCTTATCAGGATGCATCTGCTGTACAGTAAACCAGCAGTTGTGGGTTTAATTTGCACTCTGGCCAAAGATGCTAAATTTGGCTTTGTCTGAAAAAAATCTTGTCAAACATAAATGATGTCATAGAGAGTTGATTAATTTGTTTGTTTAACAGCATATCAACACCATATGGGTCATTTAATGCTGAAATTTAATTTCCTGGGGAGCTTTGACATAATAAAAATGATAGATATTATTCTGCTTTCACAACTGAATACATGGTAGATGATACTCAACATTTGTGCGTATACCCATTTGTGTGGACATAATTACTAAAGGCAGTGATATGTGTGTTTTATGTTGTAGGATTTAATTTCTTGTAGGATATTATATAGATTAATGTCATGAAAGTTCTTTCATGTTGGTTGGTTGACTGATTTCGTTTTGTGGTATATCAACACCTCTATGGGTTATTTAATGCTGGAATTTAAATATTTCACAATGTTTTGATTTCAACTAAATATATTTTGAATGCAAGTGTATGCATTAAACTGCAGATAAAATGTATTTCTACTATGAAATATATTGCTAATCATTTTACTATAAAAATGTATTTTGATGCTTTCATGGTGTTTTGTTTTAGTTTGGAGGGGGTTCACTAATTTCCTATAGCTGGAACCGTTAACAGTTGCCTCCAGATGACTTCAGAATCTCTTGCAACTCTTCTAGATGGTTTTGTTGGTGACTGCTGCTATAATCCTTGCCTTCAGTTCATCTTTGGTTTTACAAAGAGTTTTATTGGTCACTCGCTCAACTGCACCCCATACATAATCAAGAAGGTTGCAGACTGAAGAGTTAGGTGGCCAGATGTAATGGGTGATGTGGTTGCTGAAATTGTCTGACAGCAATGGCTGGGTTCTCCTGCTTGTGTGGCTTGGTGCAAAGTCCTGTTGCCAGACATAAATTCTTCCAGCAGCCACTCTCTTGACCCAGGGTAGCACTAATCCCTATAAGACTACATGTTGAGTCTGAGGTGTTGTGAGATGACGAATGGAGGCATAACATCGCCATCACTAGTGATCACTCCAAACACCATGATTTTAACTGGATATATCATCCAACTCTTTTTGAATCCTTTGCACTGTCCTCAGATTGACACCCAAACACTCTGAAATATTTGTATTGGAGCTACTGGCATGAATGCTAAGCAGTACAGCATACCATTTCCAAATTTCTGGCAGAGTGAATTATGTCATGGTGCTCTTTATCTCACAGACAGTGCCCAGCTGACCCTACTATAGTGTGTAGTCAAAATCAAAAACAAACAACATGCATGCGCAAAATGAAATATATAAAATGGTGACTATTTACCTATCGCACCATGTATATGTTAACAGCAGGTAAAATTCATAAAGACGTACAAGTACATCAACAGCAGCAGAAGTGCTAAACCAATAAATTACTGGTTTCCAAATATTACTCAAACAACAGGAAGGACAAGTAGTTGTAAAATGACCATAGCTGTTACAGTATAATTTTACCAAACCAGAACATCTTTTATAACTTCTTGCAATAAGGCGCATTTAACTTTATTGACTTATGAACCACAATACACTCAAAATATATAAAACTTATACATAAGATAAAAGTTAGAGTAACATGACACCATAAGTTCAAACAAATTTAGTATACTCATTTTAGAACATCCTGTGTTTATCTAAAATGAATGTCCGAAATTGAATTGACAAAACTCAGAACATTCAGAGATGTAACAAGGGAGAAAGTAATTTTCTAGGTTCAGACATGAAAGAAGTGGTATCAAAGACACCCTGCTGTAAAACATATGCTCTAAAAAGGCCACAAAATAAAATAATTTCCAAGTTAAACTGAAAAGTTGTTTTTTTTGGTTTTTTTTTAAAAGAGTTGTTTTTTTTTTTTTGTTTTTTTTTTAAATTCATATCTTTTTTTTTAAAGTCAAATGAAACAATGTTGTTTACTCACAGAAGTAACACCACCAGAGCTTTTGTGCATGCATATTTTTCCCTGAGGTGCTTTGCCTACCACACCGGTTGGGAATTCAACACCACTGAAATTTAAACAAGAGTACAATCATTAATATTGTAATTTTATTTTATTTATTTATTTTTTTTTTCAGTGAAGCCATCATTCCTTTCAAAAGCTATATTTAACAACCAATTTATTCACTTAAAATTTGAGCAGGAAGAAAATAGTTGATTATCCAAGATTTTGAGATAAGCAGTCATAATCCCTTGGGAGAAAAAAAAAAGTCTCCCATGTGTAACTACTAAGTACATTCCAATACTATATTCTTATTAGTACAACATGGATAAAGTTGCCCCTGCCCAACTTCATCAAATCAATTAGAATAGAAGAACTTAATGAATTAGCAAAATATGGATTAGGATTTAAATTTGGATGAGAATCCAATGAAATGATAAATATATAAGACAATTTAGAAAACTTATTTTGACATGTTTCAGTATCATCAGAAAAATGAATTTTATTTCAACCAAATCTGTATTGGTGAAGCAGTACATGATTCATGTTTCTCATATGAATGTTGTATTGAGATAAAATCTAAAAATAAAGATTTTCTCATAACACTGATCAGTAAAAAATAAGTTTTCAAAACTGTCTTATATTTACCAGATTGGATTATATACAAAACAAGAAAACTTCATATTTACCTGCAGACTGGCCAAAACATTGAAGAAAGAAAAAAAAAAATCATTGACAAGAGAATAAATTCTGAATTATTCCTCTTCACGAGATTAGAAACTTTTTTTTGTTTTTGTTTTGAATTTACTTACACTAATAACTGAGCATTGTCATTTGGAATTGTTGGGTTGATCCTCTTCATACGATAGTGTAGAAACTTCTTGAGGGTATTTTCAGCATTCATTTCATCAACGTGAAATAAATCCTTCTTATTCCAGATCTCTAGACCGACTAACGCTATGTATAAATTCAACGGCTGGTAAAGCTGAAAAAGAAATGTAAATATTCCAAAATATTGATAACACATTGATTTTTTTACAAACAGGAAGTAACAGGAGTCATCTCTCTTAGTATGGTAGCATACCTATGTCCCCATTCACATAAATACAGTAGTAAATACTGTATGTTGGTTTGTAGTTGGAGATTCATTGTGAAATTCACTTGACTCACTTCTAGCAGTTGACTACTTCTACATGCCACTGGTGATTCTTATATATATTGTTCATGTCCTAAGTATTACCATTCATTACCAACCTTTTTGTGATTATTCTATTCAGTAACCTTCCTTAGGTTACAACACTTAGAAACATTTGCAATTGATAAAAATTATCTAACATGTTTGAAATGGGAAATTGTTGAAGATTCAGGAATTTAATAACTCTGCTGATACAATATATAAGACTGGATAGTCAGAATTTGATTTGCAAGCAAAATAAATGCTTTTTATTTTTTCTTATAATAATGATGAACTCGTCTCATCTTTTTTAAATAGTGTGGAGAACCACGATTATTTGCATTCTGAAGGAACATGACATTATAAAAAATATTTTATAGGAACAAATATAGATTACACCCAGTATATGTATGTATGTATGTATGTATGTGTCATTAGAGATATATTCAGAATGGAAAGGATATTTACCATATTTACTGTATTGGCTATGTCTATCATCCTGGATTCCATGCCACTCTGGTGATATTTATACTGTAAATAAAAAGAAAGAAAATGTAATTAGGTTTTTGTCTGACAATTATATATTCTCAGATAACTTTAGTGAACAATGGTGAATGTGAAAAAGTAAATGATTTATGGGAAAAAGCTACACAAGGCTCCCGTCTTTATTTTGACTTCATAATTAACTGTCTCTTACACCTTGAAAAAGAACCCAACATAAAAATGAAACAATTTTATGTTCACCTTTTGGTGAATAAAATTTGACACAAAGCCTGATTTATAGAGTTTCCAATAAGTATCAAACCATGAGCAATAGTTTGCAAAATTAACATGTTAAAAATATTACTGTATTTTAGTTTGTTCAAATTTCCTTTGTTCTTTTTGATTTTAATCGCACTATTTCAGCTGCTGCACTCTCCAGCCTACCTCAACAGAGTTGCCAGATTAAGCTACAAGTAGTAATGTGGGCAACTTTTGAAAACCCAGGACTACTAAATTTTAAACTGACATTCTTATTTGTAGTCAAGTTATCACAGCTTATTTTAAAAGTCATCATGGAATAGGCAAGTTGTGAAATGTAAAATTGAATGGTTCTGTGCTTTCAAGTGGCAACTCTGTTCCAAAATACAACAGACACATGAGGAAAACCATAGAGTACAACTGCCAAAATGTAGGAAAAATATTAGAAAAAAAATGAATAAATGAATAAAAATGAAAGAAAAGATGAGGAAATTAGAGCTAGCCAAAATTTCTAAAGAATTAGTGGATTTATTTTTAATCCAACATTATTACTTCAAACATTAAAGTCTGTAGAAATGAATGACACCTTAATTTAAGAAAGACACTATCTCAGAGCTACAAGAATTCATAAGAGTGGGTGAATGTATGCAAATTTGTTTGTGAGATCAGCTGGATATATATTCACAACAGAGAGGAGGACAGTGTTCATTTTTGAAATGCTGTGCTGTTTTTAGTATGGAGAGACTTTGACAGTTTGAAAGCGATTACTTGGATCGGTTTCACACAAAGTGGATACTCTGTGTTTGAAATAGACACTTCATTTTCATTTATTAGACAGTGTGTATTGCATCTATTGGCAAGAATATTTATGAAATCTTGGTAAAGAAAAATGCATTCCCCAGTAAGAATAGAACCCACATCTGTGGTGATAGAGAAATAAATAAATAACAAGATGACCAAAATTTCAACACCTCTAAAAATAGACAGATAATAAAAATTGCCAGGCAAACAAAGTTCAATCAACCAATTTCCCAACCAAGATGTAAGAAAAGAAATAAAGGAAATTAAACTGCCCTTGCTACATTGAAAACCACCATACCTTACTTCACCACAAGGTCAAACAGCAGCTACTATATATATATATATATACATACATACATTTCTACCCGGACTCTCTCTTTCTTATTTGCCAGGACATTTATACTTGAACTCTTGAAAGTTTAACTTTCAATTTATCCTTCTGTATTATTATATTGTGTTATACAGGGTAGGCCAAAAGTAGGTTTACAGTTGTTTCACTATTTGTTTCATTTTTAGATCACAGCTCGGAACCAGAGCTAACTTAGCTGAACTGTTCTTTCAGGAAGATGGAACACCTCCCCATTATACTTTGGCAGTAAAGGATTACCTTAAAGAAACCTTTCCACAGCATTGGTTCAGAAGAAGGGGCAGTATCAAATGGCCACCATGTTCACCTGACCTAACACCAATGGATTTCTTTTTTGGGTGTTTAGTAAAGAAAAAGGTTTATAAAGAGAAATCCCCACACAGTAGACAAATTAAAAGAGTACATCTCAGAAGTATTTATTGAAATTGATGCAGATCAGGATTTGTGTTGTGCTGTGTGTCATTGTGTTTTGGAAAGGTTTGAGGAATGTTGCAATGTTAAAGGAGGACAATGTTAAAGGATTTATTTTATATTTATCAACACACTGTTCATTTTTTTCTAATCATTACACAAGGCCAATATACACCCAAATCACTTAAATATATAGTGAGAATGGACATGGTCACAAAATAAACAACTCATCCACAACAGATAACCCATAACCTACCATACACCTCAATGCAATGATTATAATGCCTCATCATAAAAGGAAAAAATGCGAAATATTATTTCAATGTTAACTGTTACTGTCTTCTTTAAGAAACACTAAAATCTATATCAATGGAAAACTAGGTAAAATAAATAAATAGATATTGATTTCAATCCTACTAGGAATGACTGCAGATCATTTCCCCCTCCCCTTTTATAGGCAGAAATCCACAAATGCATGCTGGGGTAATTTTCTTAGTCAACAAAATAGGCCAGTTTGCAGTTTGACATGACTCAGTTCATGAAGACAGGCCACTGCATTCGCTTGTACGACCTTGCTTTTGTGTGTCAACACCAATTCTTAGTTTGTGAACTTTTTTTTTTTTTTCATCTGTTAATTTGCCTTGCATATATTGTTTGTTTGCTTTCTTGATATTATTTCATTTTTGCCCCCCTTTTTTTTTATTACAAACTTTGTAAATTCTTGTTTGTTTCACAGTTCTGTTATTTCTTCTGGCATTTGACCATGGCTAATCACTCAACAATAAATATATTTAAATTAGAGTTGTTTGATGTGGAATACACAAAAACACTTCATAATAAATTATTTAATACAATGGTATAGGGCAGGGGTCAGCAACCTATGGCAAACATGCCACATGTGGCACGCCAAGCAATTTCCAATGGCATGCAGCTGCAAATGACATCAAGAAGTCCAAACCAATAACTAGTACAATGCAAAGAAGATATTTAGCCATTTTTATATATATATATATATATATATATATATATATATATATATATATATATATATAGTGTAACCCGGATATAAGAGAGTTGTCGGGACCAGAGAAGAAGTCTCTTATATCCGGGTTTGGTCTATTTTATATACATTAACACAGGCTCTAATTTGGGACCAGAGAAAATCTCTCTTATATCCGGGTTACACTGTAAAATATATTGTAGAACAGGTATATTGACCTTGACTTGTATAAAAATATGTATTCTGTTGGCCCACTGAATGATTTTAAAACCCTAAATTGGCACATAGTCAGCAAAAGGTTGCCGACTCCTGGTATAGGAGACAAAAAAAAAAAAAACTTTAAAAGCACAACATCCACCCCCACCACAAAAAAAATTATAACTAGAATGATAATTGCAATAGAATATTTAAAAAATATGAAACAAACAATGACAAAAGGTGCATCTAAGGTTCATTAAACCATTAAGATCACACCTTTGTGATTGAAATAGGTACACATTTCTTGTTAGGGTCCAAGCCTCAGGAAAAAGTAAAGTTTATTTGCTTTTTTTATGTTAATACTTACAGTTGAAAAGTCAGCCACCATATAAAGTTCCACATATCTTGTATTTTCATTGCTATTATAGGGTCCACGGATACTGCGGCGAACCTGTTGAAGGACAAAGAACATTTATAGAATATTTTATTTTTCTTGCAATGTTTAGGGTGTTCTTTTGCTTTTACATGTATGGTCACTCAACAGAAAAAAATAATAATGCATCATTTAAGAATTTTGAATGAAAAAGAAACTGTTAGACCTCCCACCACCACCATCACACACAAAAAAAAACCTCCAGTAAACGAAACAGTAAAAGAAATATGAACAAGGTTGCTAGCATTTAGAATTAACAATGAAATAGTCGTTTTTGTTTAAAATAAAAAAAGACACAAAAGTTACCTCCCTTATCTATAATTTAAGTAAATTGCAAGTTATTTGTAAAAATTAAATAATGCTTTTTATTAAACAAAAAAGCCAAGATGAAAAACTACCCACTAAATACAAATCAATATATAACATAGCTCTGTGACTTTAATGATTATTGCAATAAAAGAATTTATCAGTGGAGGATTTTGGTGAATTAAACTAGCAATACCTAAGCCGAAAATGATTTAGCCACACTTGATATGTCAACTTCAAGAAATTCAACTTCTGTGGAAACCTCTTTCTGCTATTTACCCATTTCTTCACTGGTTGCAGGATGTGACACAAAGACAGTTTAAAAAGGTGGGGTGCCATACATACAGGCCAAGGACAAAAATGTTCCTCTCCCTATAACCACTTTTATATCAACCCTTCCTCTTTAATGCAATGAGGGAGGTGCTGCCTCAGGGTTGGCATTTCCTGGACTAGGCATCTCACACAACCTTAAGAGAAAGAGGAAACAAATACTACACTTTGATCCCAGCCCAAAGTCTAGAGGCTTTTTCCTCAATCCCGTCTTTTTTTTTTTTTAAACCTGTGAAGATTTTTAGCTTTTCTTTTTGGGTTCCCATAATTCCATGTTGTGTTCCAAAATTTTGATAAGCCCAAGACAGAAATCAACAACAGATTCCTTTGCATCTTAATGTCTTCTGTTAAGTCTTCTTTTACCAAAGAAATTAAATTATGTATGTTTCTATTAATTAATTACTACTTATAATACTTGTCTTATTCCTTTAGTTAATAAAAATTGTTTTGCACAAGTTGACCAGTGTATTTAAGATAAGGTGGAGTCAGGAAGATAAGTTTTAAACATTTTATTTGTTTACTATATATGAGGGGATACACAAAAGAAGCCAAAACTCAAATAGTTACACGTTGTACCATGTGGCATCATTAGCTGACATCATTTGAATCAGTACTATAAAACAGGATTGCCAAGAGCTATTGTAGGATGCTTGAACCAATTCTAATAAAAAGAATGTATGTATATCAGATTTAGAGTGGCATATCATCCTTTATTTTTATACTAAAGTTCACCCAATACAAGGCTTGCAAACCACTCAAAGTAGAGGGTTACAGTTAAAATGATTATGATGAATAAGGTATGATACAAGTCACACAGATGGTTTGATTGATTGATTGTGCTTAATAACTCTAGTGGTAGAAAGTGAAGATTATGAGGATGAGGGGAATAGATAGTGACCCTCAACTTGAAGAGGTTTAGATTATAATATTCAGGGAAACACTCACACAGGAGTGTGTTCCATAAAATATCAATTCTTGGGAAAAAGCTGTCTGAATGAAATTTTCACTTTATATTTGGAATATGGGGGAAACTGTGGTGATTTGAGTCTTTGGGTGTGGCATGTCCTAACTGTAAATGTTTGAACTGGTGGTATTATAAAATAGAGCTCATATGAACATTTGGTATGTAAATAGACAAGTGAGAAGCATAGGACATTGTGTTTGTGGGGGAAGAGGCTGCCGAGTGGAGAAGTCTTTCCCCCTTAAACAATTTTGAACTCTTATCAAGGCTGGAAAGTGGGGGCAGAAATAGTCAGGTATTGTTGGAGTGATATAATGAGCGGACTATATTTCTAGCATCTTTAACAATAGATTGAAGACCCAAGAGATGTTCAAATTATTGATGGGCATTTCAATGGAGGTATTGAAAGTTACAAGCCCGTTTCCCCACTCCCCTTCATGAAATTAGTACTAGTTTTAAATGGAGATTAGTGGAAAGGTTCCAATATTCTAGATTTTTGGAAGTGCATTTATAAACTGGTTACATTAAAAATATTTCCAAGACTTACCCTAGATAAGGTCTGTTTGGTAAAGCTGAAGTGTACATCTTCTGCAGTGTGGTTGTGATCAGGATTGCCTGTGAACAAATGGGAAAAGTAAGCAATCTCTTGCATAATTTAAAGTAAATAAGACAATTTTGCTATATGAAGTGGAATCAGTAAATCCATGGCCCAATATTAGTAATGAGCTGAATTTTGATCTGAGATATAATGTGCTTAATATGCACTATTGAATTAAGTGCATTGACAAAGGAGTTTTTTTTTTTCTAAATCATCTTACCCCAAACAAGGCGATAAACAGTCACTAAGATACTAGAGCTTACTCAGAGAGAAAGAACTAGAGAAGACAATAAAAAAAACTAATTTAAGGAGACACAGGACAATTGACTTTACATTTAAATGTTTGAAGATCATGGTTGACAAAAAATATTGAAAAATAAATAAATTAAAATTTCTCTATACTTATGAATAATTACAACAAATGAATTTGTAATAAAACTCATTATCACCAAAAGAGTATCTAAAAAGCAAGACAAATATTTCTTTCATACATACTTGATGAATTTATTTTCTTTTAAAGCACGTTAAATGATTAATTTTCTCAGATGGTAAATATTGCATATCAGGTTCACAAAGTGTGATCACGGGTAAATTATGCATTGTAAGTCATTTTGTCTATTCTATACTGTGAGAATATACAATAACATTCAATCAATGAACAGAACAAAATTATCTGGGATATGAATCATTTCTATGTGTCATATAGCCTCAATTGTCATGTGCCTTCTTTTTTTTAGCAAGTTTTTTTTTTTTTTTTTATAATGACAAATATTTATTTATGTCTGGAGCCAATGAATGTAAATACAAATTTTTGTGATCTAGCACTTTCAAATACTCTTCTGGCCATTATGAAGATTAGGCAAACAATGTAATACACAAGGAGATATCCAAGCAGAATTCTTCACTTGGAGGAACATATCTATTGTTAAATGCATTTAAAATCCCAGTCTTTAAACTGAAAAACATCTTAGACATCTGAACCTCTGCATTCCCTCATCCAAGCAGAAGAGACATCTGGTCCTCTGTGCACCCCACATCTGGCCCTCTGTGTACCCCTATTAAAGGAGTGGGAATCATATGGCCTGCTGCACTCCCCTAGGCCAAGCAAACTTACAGAGAATTGCTATGTGTAAGTAATTCTAGGAGGAAATTTTTGTTATATCAGAAGGTAACAAAGACTTACCACATCTGAAAGACAAATTTTTCTTCTTCTCTGGATACCAGTAATGAAGTGAGTTATTTGAACCATCTTTTATTGGTTCAATGTTATAAATAACAGGACCATCAATGATAACACCTCTGAAAAATTGAATAGCAAAATATGAAAATGTTCAAAATGAATTCTTGTAAGATTTTCATGAGAACAATGTTGATCAAGTCAATCAAATCAGAAAATGATTAAAACTTTAAATGTTTTTTTTTTTTTATAATTTTTGATCTCTTTTTCTTCTAACCTGTTTTTCTTACAAAAAACAAAAAAAAACAAAAACAAAAAAACTACTGTAATTCATGGCACAGTCAACATTAAAGTATTATACAGTTAGGGTAGGTACAAGTACTGGTTGTACAGTAAATATTAACCTACTGGACACTTCAACTTTGCATATAGAACCTAAGGTAATTTTGTTTGTGACATCTTTTATACAATTATATACAGTATGTATAAAATATGAAGAATATTTCATTATATATATATATATATATATATATATATATATATGTATGCATATATGTATATATATATGTGTGTGTGTATATATATATATATATATATATATATATATATAGAGAGAGAGAGAGAGAGACAGAATAAGATTTTGAAAAATATGTTTTTATATATTTATATGAAATATTTGTAAAACATGTGTTTATAGAGAATTATTAAAATTAAAATTGTTTTACTTACATGTGGGTTTTCAGAATAAAATTAACTTTTTTCTGAAAACCAACATGTAAGTAAAACAATTTTAATAATTCCCTGTAAACATACGTTTTATAAATATTTCGTATAAATATATAAAAAAAATTAGGTGTTTTTAAAATCTCAATTTCTCCATACAATAAGTTTTTGTATAGATTTTTCTAATAATTTCAATTTTTGTTTTATACACACACACAATATATATATATATATATATATATATATATATATATATATGTGTGTGTGTGTGTAAAGTTATTATATTGATTTATTTTTTTTTGTAAAATAAATCAATTTCTGAAACATTTCCATAACTAAATAAATAGTGAATGAATTGAGTTTATGTAAGTAATAAAAGAAATTTACCTGATGCCATCACAAGTGCTGATTGCAACCTTGGAATCAAAATCATCTTTAATGTGGCCATGATAATAACAGTGATTAGCATTCTAAAATATAAAGAAAATCCTTAATTTACATGCAAGATAAAATAATGGATTGACAAAGATAATTAAAACAGATTAATTAACAAATAAGCTTTTCAAAAATTCAATTCTTTAAGGCAAGATTAAACTCTTACATTATTATCAGTGAAATGCTTTTGTTATTTAATTAATCTTCAACCATTTACACTATTTACATTGTTTGGACTGTTGCCCTCATCTTTATTGTCATATTCATAATGTTTCAGCCATCGCACACTCCAGTCTTCTTCAGATATATGTTGGAATTTCAAACTGAACCTTTTATTTAGTCCACTGGGGTAGATTGCTCTAGTTCCACATGCCATGCCTTTTCTGGATATCTCAGTTTCAGTTATTTCCCTTTTAGTAACTCAACTCCCCAAGTTTTTGTTCACCACTGGCCAGGTATTTTTGGATTACTTCAACTAACACTTATCCACTAGAACATGTGCCCAAGGGTTTGGTTCAAAATTCCAACGTACATCACTTGAAGGAGGCCAGAGCATACAATGGCCAAACTGTCATGAATATAATAATAAAGATGAGGACAACAGTTCAAACAATATAAATAAATTTTCACAATACTTTATCTCAGAAATATAAATAGATAATCTTCAACTTTACTGTAGGAAAGAATTTCTAAACCATATGCAAGATCTGTCCAGAAAGTATCTGGTTATGTAGAATCACTTGAGGATTTGTTGTACAGTCTTGATGGAATTTGGCAACCATACTGAAGGAATCATACTGCACTTGCATGAATAGACACTCTCTAATAGACTAAGTGTGGAGATAAATAAATACATATGAGATTTTGCATGAAGCTTTGACATTTATAGTAATTATTCAAATGGTTTGGCTTACAAACATTTTAACCTTTTTCAGGTTATTCAATGCTGAATTAAGTTTGGTTTATATGAGAGTCAAAAAAGGTAGACATGGGTTCAGGTTTGCACAAAAGACAAAAAAAAGGTAGACATAAATCTGGGTTTTGCATGAAAGTCAAAAATGTAGATGTAAGTAAACAAGTAGCTTTTTATAGTCATTTATTTTCTTTTTAGGATTGGGTTTCCAATTCCTCCTTAAGCCTTTTTCATCCTCTTTCACTCTCAGTAGCCACTTGCATCTTAGTGGCATTATCACCATGCTTGGGGTGAATTGATTAAAAAAAAAAGTTATTAATCTTAACCTGGCATCTAAACTTCAGTCACTTTCCTACTGCCATGTGAAAATGTTACTCCTCGGTATGGAGATGTTGTCAGCATATTCTTGACCCCAATAAACAGGGAACAAATGATTAAGAAATGTTTTGGGAGATGATTCATTTGACAAAGCCCCAGTAAAAGTTTGGTATCAACACTTAAAGTTGGCTGGGCATCCATTGAAATTAAACTATTTTTCTTATGTCTTCAATAAACAGAACACCCAAAAACATCAAGCATGTACAGGCTACAAGCAAAGGAAATTAGTGATTGACATTTTTAAAATTAAAAGATTGAGAGATTTCATGGACTGTGTGGAAAGCATCTGAAAGATTCTGAAATATCTTGAGTGTCTTTTGGCAAAATATCATACTACACTATCAACCTTGCCCCGTCAGTCCAGATGTGACTATAGGATTTTTTTACTCCCTCAAAGTGAAAACATTGAAAGTAAGGAGAGATTTCAAATTGCCACTGAAAGAGGAGGAATTCAAATTGAGGGGGAAGATTTAAATTGGGGGTGTCCAAGTCATCACAAAAAGCTGTGGGAGAGATTTCAAATTGTCACTGAAAGGGGGTTTGAGAAGAACTTGATAAGATATCCGATGGTAATCCCAAAAGAGGACTTTGTAGATTGTTTTGAAAAGTGAAAGAGATACTAAGATCTTAAGTACTAGTTCTCAATATTGCCCTAGACAGGCTACAATTTTCTGGACTGACCTTGTACAAAAATCAATAAATTTTAAAATTCTCAACATTGTTCAATTGATATTTGATTTATAGACTATAATAATGTTTGGGGGTTGGGGGAGGTGTAAATGCAATCTGGAAACTGTGTTCAAATTTCAATTAGACAGTTTATGTTCACTTTATGCCAATGCCAATTTTCCAAAGGCATGAATCCATCTCCTCTCCCAAACAGAATGGTTTCTCTAACTTTGGCTGTTAACCAATCTAGGAAAAGGACAACTATGAATTCATATCAATAGTGGAGCCTTCCTTCCAGCAGCTCTTTATAGCCAAACTGATGCCAATATGTATCAGTTCCCAAAATGTAAGGCTGACATTCTGACAAAGCTTTGATAAGCCATTTGCAAGTGGATGAAATAAATTGCTTGAATGATAAAAAAAAACCCACACACACAAAGAATAGAGTCTACAGAAATGGATCTCTCCAAAAAATAATCATTTTTTTCAATTTCTTTTCCATACTCATCAAATAGCACTCTAAATTACAAGTATCAAAATATTCTATTTTTTTAAAACTTTTCTAAATTTTAAGAGTTTTTAGTTTGCCATGAAAATTGGTACCCCTATGCATGCTTATTATATATATATATATATATATATATATATATATATATATATTACAATAAACATTTTTAATGGGTGGATATGCATATCTGAGTAGACGCTCTATTTATTTTAAGCAGTATTTATTTCATCTACCAGCTTGAACTGTCAAGAAATCTTAAAAGATTAATTAAAGAAAAATGTACCCTCCAGCAGGATACAAACCTGTGTCCCCATTTGCAGGAGAACCTATTGTTTGATCTGATGTGCTTTTGACTACTCTGCTACAAAGAGCATAATATTTCAGTCAGGTTCTATCTGTCTTTAAAGCACACTTTATTCATTCAGATTTCTTCAAAATGGTATTTTCGTCTAATGGACTAAACATTTGAGAAATCTTATTAAAGAAAAATGTCTTTCAGCAGGATTCAAACCTGTAACCCCCTTTGCAGGAGAAATCATTGCTTGGGGATGCAGGTTTGAATATAATATATGATTTCTCATTATATATATATATATATATATAAATGGTAGTCAGATATATTTGAAAAGTGAAAGGCTCTTCTTTGTCTATATTAACCACTTCTGAATGAGTGATGAATTATTTTCGATCCTACAACCTCTTTCCTCACAGATAAAACTTAGCAACCCTCTCGTTGTGCTATGGCTATTTCAGTGGAAAGTGTTCAAACAAACCATATTCCTTAGTTCTAACCTTTATGGCTCTAACCCCACATGTTACACACATTTAGCGAACCACCCTCATTTTGTATTCCATACGTGAGAAGTTCAACACGAGAAGCAGCTTCTCATGAACTGCTGCTTTGTGGAAATTACTCCCAAGAGGATGTTTTCCCAAAAATTACAATCTTAACCTGTTCAAGTCTAAGGTTAACTGTTAGCTTCCTCACATGTCCCCATAACCTGTGCTTCTTACTCTGCAACCTTCTATCTCAAGTAGTTCTTGGGCCTTTTACAGAGTGAACATCATTGTAAAATAAAATGTTTTGCAAATGTAAGTCTCAAGAGAATTATTGATTTCATTTATTAACTTTTTCCTTTGAGAAAATTTTAAAATGTCAGCAAGTAACAAAGCTTTCATAACATATTGGATTAAAGATTTTAAAAATTGTTACTCCTAATAATAAAGATAAAAGTAATAACATACGATTCAGAATTGATATGTGACATAATTCAAAGAGAAAGAAATTATCTCCAAAAAAATGAACGCACTATATAATTTGGTATTAACTGAAGGGAATTTAATTTCACTTTTAGGTATGTGCAAAAGATTCCAGCACTCATTTCCAAATAGTTTTTATTCACCCACTCTACCCTTTTAATAAAAAGGCTGGAAACTTTTGCACATGCCAAATGCAATTGCAGAAAATATCACAAAATGTAGCAAAAGAGGTTTTTAACCTTTTTTGGAAAATTTAATTTCAGCAAAAGTTGGCAATAATTCTAAGAAAATACTTACATGTTCAGCTTTTTGTGGTTTTCTTATATGGAAACCTGTGGAATGCTGTTTCTTGATAATAAATGAATTTGCTATTAAATCTCTGCAAAGAAAAATAAAACAAAATCAGTTAGAAATAAAAATAACTTTACAAATTCAGGAAATTTTTGTGTGTGTGTGTGTGTGTGAGAGAACAAGAGAGAGATACTATGATGGTGTGTGTGTGTGAATGATACTATGGGTATGAGAGGGAGAGGCAAGCCTACAGACATGTGAGAGAGAAACCTGTGAGAATGAGATATTTATGAGTGATAGATCAGTGTGCTCAGAGAGAAAGACAGTGTGATCAATCCATGAGAGAGATTCCCGAGTGTGTGTGAGAGAGAAAGAGAACTGCGAGCATGAGAGAGAGAGAGAGAGAAAGAACCGTGAGTATGAGAGAGAGAGAGAGAAAACCGTGAGAACGTGAGAGACAGAGAGAAAACCGCGAGCATGTGAGAGAGAACCATGAGAGAGAGAGTTAACTGCCAGCATGTGAGAGAGAGAGAGAGAGAGAGAGAGAGAGAGAGAGAGAGAAGAGAGGCATGGGGAGAGAGAGAGAGAGAGAGAGTGAACCGCGGGCATGTAGAGAGAGAGAGAGAGAGAGTGAACCGCGGGCATGTGAGAGAGAGAGAGAGAGAGAGAGAGAGAGAGAGAGGAATCATGGCATGTGAGAGAGAGAGAGAGAAGAGAGGAAGAGATGGGCATGGAGAGAGAGAGAGAGAGAGAGAGAGATGGGCATGTGAGAGAGAGAGAGGAACTGCTGGGCATGTGAGAGAGAGAGAGAGGAACTGGGGGCATGTGAGAGAGAGAGAGAGAGAACTGGGGCATGTGGGAGAGAGCATGAGGAGAGAGAGAGAGAGAGAGAGAGAGGAACTGCTGGGCATGTGAGAGAGAGAGAGAGAGAGTGAACTGGGCATGTGGAGAGAGAGAGAGAGAGAGAGAGAGAGAGAGAGAGAGAGAGGAACTGCTGGCATGAGAGAGAGAGAGAGAGAGAGAGAGAGAGAGGAACCAAGTGGCATGTGAGGGAGGAGAGAGAGAGAGAGAACATGGGGCATGTGAGAGAGAGAGAGGGAGAGAGAGAGAGAGAACCTGGCATGTGAGAGGGGAGAGAGAGAGAGAACCGGGCATGTGAGAGAGGGAGAGAGAGAGAGAACCTTGGGCATGAGAGAGGAGACAGAGAGAGAAACGCGGGCATGTGAGGGAGAGAGAGAGAGAACCAGGGGCATGTGGGGGAGAGAGAGAGAGAACATGAGAGGGCATGAGGAGGGAGAGAGAGAGAGAACCAAGGGCATGTGAGGGAGACAGAGAGAGAGAGAGGGAGATGGGCATGTGAGGGAGACAGAGAGAGGGGAGCAGGGCATGTGAGGGAGACAGAGAGAGAACCGCGGGCATGTGAGGGAGACAGAGAGGAGGGGCATGTGGAGGGAGACAGAGAGAGAACCAAGGGCATGTGAGGGAGACAGAGAGAGAAACCAAGGGCATGGAGGGAGACAGAGAGAGAACCATGGGCATGTGAGGGAGACAGAGAGAGAACTGCGGGCATGTGAGGGAGGGAGGGAGACAGAGAGAGAATCATGGGCATGTGAGGGAGGGAGAGAGAGAGAGAACTGCGGGGGCATGTGAGGGAGACAGAGAGAGAACCGCGGGCATGTGAGGGAGACAGAGAGAGAACCGCGGGCATGTGAGGGAGACAGAGAGAGAACCGCGGGCATGTGAGGGAGACAGAGAGAGAAGAGAGGGCATGTGGAGGGAGACAGAGAGAGAAGGAGGAACCGGGCATGTGAGGGAGACAGAGAGAGAACCGCGGGCATGTGAGGGAGACAGAGAGAGAACCGCGGGCATGTGAGGGAGACAGAGGAGACAGAGAGGGAGACAGAGAGCAGGAATGTGAGAGAGACAGAGAGAACTGCAGGAATGTGAGAGAGACAGAGAGAACTGCAGGAATGTGAGAGAGACAGAGAGAACTGCAGGAATGTGAGAGAGACAGAGAGAACTGCAGGAATGTGAGAGAGACAGAGAGAACTGCAGGAATGTGAGGGAGAGAGAGAGAGAGGAATGGGAGAGGAGACAGAGAGAATGCAGGAATGTGGAGAGAGACAGAGAGAACTGCAGGAATGTGAGAGAGACAGAGAGAACTGCAGGAATGTGAGAGAGACAGAGAGAACTGCAGGAATGTGAGAGAGACAGAGAGAACCGCGAACATATAAGAGACAGAGAGAACCGCGAACATATAAGAGACAGAGAGAACCACAAGTTTGTGTGTGAGAGTGAGAACTGCAAGTGTGTGTGTGAGAGAGAGAACCACAAGTGTGTGTGTGTGTGTGTGATAGAGAGAGAACAACAAGTGTGTGTGTGTGCGAGAGATAGAGAGAACAACAAGTGGGATCCATCAATGTAAGAGAAAGATTCCTAAGTGTGTGAGAAAGAGAAAACTAAGAGCATGAGAGAGAGAGAGAGATGTACTATAAGTTTGTCTCAGTGCCTGGAAGATGGTGAACTTTCATTAAAGAATTACAATAGGTCAATTACAAGTAATTCAATGAATCTCCCTAAAATATAACTGAAATAAATATAAAATTAGTAAATAAAGATATTTCTATTCTTCCTTGGAATAATTTTTGTAGGATCAGCAATGTATCACTTGTTTCTCAGGAATTTATGCTGCTGGTATGCAAGTGTAAGAAATAACACGTATGTATGTACATACATACATGTCTACATATACATACATGTTTGATGTATGAGGATCCAATAATTCAGCTCTTAGGACTGAACTGCCAGGCAACCTGCACATGATTTGATTATAGAGGGTGAAAACTTGTGCAGAATCATCTACGCTTTTTGAAAGAACTGAATACAGAGAATTGGTGCATATAATGTACCACAAATTCCCCAAACAACTCTCCTCAAATTTTTAATTCAGAGTGGTTCTTCTTCTAAACTGGTTGCCAACCAAAACTAAAAATAGGAGTAGATAGGTTTGCCTATCATCTGGTTCACACTTCTTCCTAGTGTTTTGAACAGGAATAGAGATTTATCCCTTTTTCTTGTTTAAGATTGGGTTTCTGGTTCCTTCTAAAGTCTGCTTCAGCTCTATACTCCTAACACCTGTTCTTTTCTATGGTCATATAAGTCCACACAGTAACCCTCTACCTTGAGTGGCTCTTTGGGCCTTGTATTGGATGAAAATTACTAAAAACAATCCCGATATAAAATGATAAAAATATATTTTTAATGTATGCTATATTTATACATTAAAGTGCTCAATATCAGGGACAGAGCACATGTAGTTTTAGACATCCACTAAAAATCAACCAAGGAGGGTACCAAATAATAGAAAGAACTTAATGGAAATGGAATGTTCTGATTATGCAAGACAGGATTGACTAGTTAGTATGTGAGATTGATTGGGAATGTTTGTTTTTTTAAATACATGTAGACACTCAGTGACAGAGAAGAGCAAGAGGCTCAATTGTATTTATATCCAAGCCAACAACATGCTATCAAATATGAATGTCTTCAAGGAAACAACAGAATCACTGAAGCTAAGCAAACTTTTTTTCTCTAATATAGAAAAGGAAGAAGATATACACATTGTTTGCAATACAAGAAAAGAAATTTTTGTTTTGTTTTTTCTGGTTTTCTATTTAGATTTTTTTAAGGTTTGTAACATTTTTTGTGTTTGTTTCTTGTGAAAAAAATGATTGATGTAACAAGGCATTAGAATTGGAAAAGAATTTAAAAAAATATCAGCAGGAAGTTTATTGGGTCAGACCTAATTCATAAGAAGAAAATAATAATGAAATATCCACATCTTCTGAAAGGGTGTGGGCCATCTTGGGATTGCAATTCGAAGTGAAAGGGAAACTTAAAGTTCTCGTTTTACAGTTCTGTTCTTGAATACAAAAGAATATCAGGAACCCAAGATCTAAATGAGTTGCCATGGCAACAACAGATTCAATGCTCTAGAGGAAAAGTACACAGGCTAAAATCAGGAATCAATTTGCCACAGCCTAAAAGAAATAAAAAATGTACATAATTCTTTGTGCCAACCAAGAATCTCATGGCACTGAATTTTTATTGTTCTGAACATGACTGGTGCCAAGTAAATCACATTTTAGTTCTTTTGTCCTCCACCTCTCCTTTAGTCATTCCTTCTGAGAAAATGAGAGCTTCAGAATTTATTTCTTAAATGACTAAGATGAAAATATACTAATCATCCTGAATTCTCTTTCAGCCAACCCTAGAAATAAACAATTCATCAAATTTTACTTTATGGTATGCAAGTATCAAAAATACTGATGCTGGCTATTCCCTTATTATATAGAGAAGCTGTAAAGTGCTTTCAGTGAAAAGGGGGAAAGTTCGGCACTAAAGAAAAGAAAATTGTATGCTGAAATTGCTACAACCTACAGTAAGAACAAATCTTCTACCCAGTACCTAACACAGAATTATGTGTGTGTGAGAAAAATTCTTGTTGATAACACCATCATTCTAAATAAATCTATAAACATCTCAAGATTAGAGAAACTCTTTATATAAAACAATTCAAGCCAAGTCTCAATCTAACTTCCTTTGACAACAGAAGTTACACGTTAATGGGCTTTTAAAAGGCACTACAACATGGAATCCCAACCACATTTTTTCTCACACAGCTTAGAATTTCTGCATATTGCACAAAATACACCCGAGAACACAAACATTAACAATGAACCCAGTGAAAATAGCTAATGAATTAGCTGAAATCATTAACGACAGCAATTCCTGCACCCCCTTAGCCAGCTGCCCCACCAAAAATAAAACTGTAAGTACATTAAAAAAAAAAAAAAAACTAGTAAAAAAAAAGAAAAAAAAAAGAAAAAAACTTATAAGATTTTTCCTTCTGTCATATTCAATGAAACATGTATAAAAAAAGGTTGCTGCCCAAACATTAAATATATTTGTAAGAAAAGGGAAGGAAATTTTATTTATTAATGTGACAGATTTTTTATTACTTTAAATGTTTTTTTTTAGTGGATACTTGTATGTGAGCAGCCACTTTTTATTTATTAAACAGTGTATTTATTTATTTTTATCCACTGATCTGAATATTTGAGAAGTCTTATTTGGGAAAATATACTGGAGAGTGTACATTTCTCTCTAATAAGATTTCTGTGTTTAAAGCACTTCAAATTTTGCTTGGTCATTGATGCACACTGCAGCCAAGAGAACAAAGCAAGCTAAATCTAATAACAATTTCCCCTAGGGGAACACAGGTTCCAATTCTAGCACAGAGTGCATATTTTCTTTGATAAGATCTCTCGAATATTTAGGCCAGCAGACAAAAATAAATATATTATTTAATAAATAAACGGAGCATCTACTCAAATATGAGTATCCACTGAAAATAATGTTTAAGTAATATATATATATATATATATATATATATAAGCACATGGAAGAGTGGTTAGAATGTTTGCTTTCTAACCATGAGATCTGGGATTGAATCTCACCATGATCAATTTGTTAGGAAGGTGACCTTGGGATTATCAACCTTGGAATGGTGTAAAACCATACAACAGTTTGACCTAAGTGTTGTGAGTGAAATTGAGTAAATGAAACAGTTTGGAAGCTGTTCATGTTTGTGCAAAATTGTAAGTCATCATGACTAAGTGTACTGGCATTGTTTAAACAGCTGAGCAGATCAGATTAAGCACTTCCTCCCAGAAACTGTAACTATGGTCTGCTCTGTATAGTTGTAGAATAAACCAAAAGTGAGTTGTGTGCATGCGTTGAACAAGCATAAATGTGCCTGATCAAGCATCTGTAACAGGGATTAGATAGCTGCCCAAGCTGACAAGTGTGCCTGGGAAACAAGTAGCTCATCAACAAGTGTGCCTGGGAAACAAGTAGCTCATCATCAGGAGATAAAAAGAATTTTTTTTTTGATTATTCATCATATTGCTCTGTACAAATAAAATACATCAAGCTCTCTTTGTGGAACATATTTTTTTATTTATATATATATATATATATATATATATATATATATATAAAAGTTCTGTATATATATATATATATATATATATATATATATATGCATGCATACACCTACAATATTAATTCTATCCATCACCTAACAAATGTGCATGAAGTGATTTATGGAATATGCCACTAAGATCCAAGGGGGCTACTGGAAGTGAAAGAGAAGGAAAAGACAGATTTTAGAAGAAATGAAACACCTAATCTTAAACAGAAATCAAGGGATAAACTTCTACTCCTGTTCAAAGACAGGGGAGGAGTGTGAACCAGATGATAGGTGAACCTATCTAGTCCTATAAATCTTAATTGCAATAAAAATGGACATATTAAAATCAAACAAGAAAGTATATCCAGTTATAGTTACTGTAAGAGTCAAGTCATAAAACAAAACCAAAAAAGAACAAAAAACCAAAACAAAAGTGAACTGGTTTTCATTTGTTCATTTCTCTCATTGAAGCTCTACTGACGACTGAAAAAAATGTGCAAAGCAAATAAAATAAGAAACACCTAATAGAGGATATATATCAAAAATATAATCATAATGTATAATAATATACAAGACAATTTGGAAAAAACTTCAATTTTGACACGTTTCAATGATAATCCAGTTTCATCAGAAGAAAAGAATTTACTTTCAAAATCTACATTAGCAAGACAAAATAAATGCAATGTCAAATGTCGTCATCTGTCTTCTTAATTCCTGTTTTTTTTTATTGTTCAAACTCTTGTTCCTCATAGTGTTTCACATTCATTAACTCTTTGTGTTTTAGTGACTTTTATTGCCTTCCTTGGGGTGAAATTATAAACACACATATACATACTGGGTGTGATGGATAAATTTTCATCTAAATGATACAAAATATAAATGATACAAAATATAAATAATAGTGACATCTCACCATTCAACCATGGCCTCTAGACAACTTTGGAATCTCCTGCAACTCTTCTGGATAATCTCCTTGTTTAAGTTGGTGAATGCTGCTATAATCCTTGCCTTCATCTTTGGTGTTACAAGGAATTTTATTGGTCATTCACTCAACTGCACCCCACACATCATAAAGAGGGTTGCAGTCTGGGGAGTTAGATGACCAGATGTAAGGAGTGATGTGGTTACAGAAATTGACTGAATGCTCCAGCTTGTGTGGCATGGTGCAGAGTCCTGTTGCCAGATATAGGGCCTTCCAGTAACCACACTCTTGACCCAGGGCAGCACTATCTCCTTGATGAAAGCTTCCATGTTTAGTCAGAGGCCCTGTGGGAAGATGAAAGAAGGCGCATAACGTCGCAATCACTGGTGATCACTCCATCCACCTTTGTAATCACCATTAGACTTATCCAACTCTCTCCAAATCCTCTGAACTGTCTTCAGATTGACACTCAAACACTTTGAAATGTTCGCATTGAAGCTTTTGGTGTGAATGCCAAGCAGTACAGCATGCTGTTTCCAAATTTCTGTTAGAGTGAATTGTGCCATGGTGGTCTTTTTATTCAACTGACCCTACCATACTGTGCAGTCAGCAAAATCAAAACAAACAACATGCATACAGGAAATTAAAAATATAAAATTTACCCATCGCACCTTCTTTGTGTGTGTGTGTGTGTGTGTGTGTGTGTGTGTGTGTGCACGCACGCACGCACATGCATATCCACATTGCCTGAATATTCAAGAAATCCTGTCTGATTTCTTGAATATTCAGGCTGGTAGATGTGATTGGGGAAAAAAAAATAAAGTTTTAAAACACAGAGCATCTACTCAAATATGAGTATCCATAAAATATAACATTTAAACAAAAAAATAAATTTATATATATATATATATATATATATATATATATATATATATGTATGTATGAGAGAGAGACACACACAAATTCAATGGGCATGAAATTTAAAGAAAAAAAAACAGCCTACATATGTGCAGCAAATGCAGTTAACACTAAAATGCAACCCTGTTAATGGTTACATTCATGCCCACCCCTGCCAATCAATAAAACTATGAAAGTTTTGATACATACATTTAATACATCATATATGTAATATCAGAGGTTGCATAAACTTCTTGTATACAATATTACTTTTCAAAAAATGTTTTCATTTTTCTGTATTTTGCAGTAATAAATACCATTAACTTTACACTCAAATAGAAAATCTCAAGTCTCTCAACCACTCGTCTACTGCTCTAGTCAATCCAAAAAGCACTTATGCAAATATCTAACCCTGTTCTATTCTCATGGATTAATTCGAATGAAACACAAGATCTCGCAGCTACAACTGAACAGGCATATAGAACACTAATTCATTGTCAACTTGTTTTCTTTATTTTTTTTTTCTAACTTCCTGGTCTGACAATTAAACATGTGTCTTTCCTCTTCCAACTTTACAAGCCCTGAAAAATATTCTAGACTCTTACAGACACCCTTCATCTGAAAATACTTGGAGAGCCAGTAACTTTCCACTCTACCATCCCATGCCACCTACTCCCCTCATTTACCAAAATTATACACAACATTTACCATCAGCAATAATCTAATAGTGCACTACTCCTCCCAATATACAAAGCTAGCACAGATGTCATCAACTTCCGTTGGTCAGGTCTATGCTGTTCACAGCAAGACAGCTATGGAAAGAAGGGGTTAAGGTGCGTGTGTGTGTGGAGAGAGAGAGAGTGATCTGTGATGGTTAAAAACCATTTTTTTCTGGAAACTAGAGGATGGGAGGGTTTAGAAATAACAGAAATGAAACAATTTGGCAAATTCACTAATTAACCCCCCACCATGTCCATTAAATTTGATCAAGAAGTGTCAAAAATGTTCAT